AATCATCACAATAGAGGTGTTAATCCTTTTTCCTCCAAACAATCTTCGTTTATGAAAATAGAAAGAACAGATTTTACAAGATAAGGAGATTCAAATTATAAAGCATGCCTATGGTCTATCAGTAAGCCACATTCTGCTAATAATGATGTTCGTGGCATTATGTGAAATGTTATTAAGCAAAATAATGGCTTTCTGAACTGTGCCTTGAGAGAGAAGCTTCACACACTCCCTGCCATGCACTTTGCAAAGCTCCATTAAATGTATCCAGCAAAAAACTAATTGGCACGAATGAGTAACATCAGTGCAAAAGAAGATAGCTTGTCACCTTTCTTTCATGCACCTTGAAGCACTAAGAGGCTTCATTAAACTATCCTGCATTACATTTGAGATTCAGATAAGCCACAAACCAAAAGAAACAATATTTTATTTTCCCATCATTAACTTGTGGGGCAAAAGGAACCTGATGGTCAGAAGACTATTTGAACTGCTCTTGCAGACTCAGAACAATGGCAGTCCATCTAACAGTCCAATCACCTGCATTTTTACTCAGGAGTAAGTCTTTTCAATGTCAGTGGCGTTTACCCCAAGTAAACATGCACAAGATTGCCCTTGAACAGCCTATCCTACATATTCAGTGGGTCTTACTCACAAGATAGTATGCATAGGATAAACAGCCTTAGTTTCATAAGCTGGCTGTGATGGTGATATCAATCCCTTGTCATTTGACCCAGCACCAGGTAGCAAAAAGTCGTCGTCGTCATCTTCTTCTTCTTCTTCTTCTTCTTCTTCTTCTTCTTCTTCTTCTCTTCTTTGGCGATCGCTCATAGCCAAGTAAGATTGTCTTCCATAAACACGGTTTTAACAATGAGTCTGTAAGTGACTGTGGAGGCCAATTCTGGATCCACACGTCCTTCCACAGTAGGGACATTGGTTTCCGGGTGGCAGTTGGTGGATTTGCCAAGTGTGCCTTCCTCTTGGCACGTTTCTCCCTTGTGTCCTGAGTTCGAGTGTCTTCAAAGCCCATGATGCCTTTGGTAAAGGCTGTTCTCCAATTGGAGCGCTCTCAGGCAAGTGTTTGCCAATTGCTGGTGTTTACACTATATTTTTTTATATTTGCCTTGAGACAGTCTTTAAACCTTTTTTGTTTCCCTGACAATAGAAGTGATGCTTTTGCCTATCTTAGCTAGTGGCCACCGATAGGCCTTTCAATCCACATGCTCATCTAGTCTCCTTCAAAGGCATTTTTGCCAGTTGCCAAAGAGCACCCTGTGACAATGTGTTCTGCAGGTTGATTGTGGACTGTGTACAGCAGTGCTTGGTTTTATTTAAATTAAGCCTGTCCAGTGGATGAGCCTGAGTTTTTGCATTTTAAGAGAATTAATAGTTTTCACAATCTATTCTCTGCCCCATGATTCATGGTGTTTTAAGGCTCTATCATCAGCTCCACTGATCAGAGCTGTTTGGTGCATCACAGGAAGCGACAGAACAGGAAATGTCAGACATTTGTTCTTTTTTATGCTTCTACTGCAGTTCATGAAGGCAGAATGGCCACATCTGCTCTATAGGAAGAAGCGAGCAGTTTCCCTATTTGGAGCACATGTACTGACATGCACCCTTGCTTCCTGTTTTGCCACTTCCTCCAACATGCAAAAGAGCTCCCACTCATGGGTTGGGTCACAGTAAACATCTAGACTAAAAATGCAATGGCACAACTAAAATGCTACTGAAAAACACAAAAAACCCAACCCCAACCCAGAATGAAAAGAAAAGCACTTTTCAAACTTGCGACAACTTCAGAACCAATTCACAGAATATAATGAATGAATATCTCAATTAGCCTGGTGCCTACAAAGCAACTAAGATGTAGTCATCCAGCTTGACAGTACATTTGTAAATACTGCCATTCTAAATAAATTGATTGTCTCCTATACCTTGTGATGATTCTAACAATTTGGGAGCGGGGTGGGGTAGGGGAGCTAAACAAAAAGCAAATCATCACTTTATATATTTCACATATTCCCCTCCCCCCTAACATGTAATCTTAAAAACAGGCAAATGAAAATTAGATTTTGCTCAAGTTGTTATTGCTGCACAACCTAGAAGTGATTTGAAGGTGCATTTATTCTGTGGTTGACATTATTCATTTACCTATTGCAATAGTACATCTAACTTCATGAGGCAGGGCCAATTATCCACAGGCCCCAACCAACCAACCAACCAACCAACCAACCAAACCATGCAATCTCCATAAGAGTACACCACAAGAGGAGGACACATGGAAGGACCACAGAAAATGTCTAGGATGAAAATAGACCCAGGAGTCTCCTGCCACATGCATGCCAGCAATATGTTCTTCTTAGTAAATAGTGTATAGGCAAGAAGGGGGTGGGTAATCCCATTCTTATAGTGGCCAACCCGTGGGAAATTGTGATGCACTGGCATGGACTGATTGGACTGGTGGGAGGAACCAGCTGAAGAACCACCAAGGGAAGAAGGCTCAGAGCCAGGGAGTGGTGGTGGATAGAGGGAAAAGAGGAAGAAAACTGGGAAGAGGAGGTGTTGGAAGCTGAAGAGGTAACAGGGCTTAGTGAGCTGGGAGACTCTAAGGTAGAGAGAAGTCTAGAATCAGAGGCAGAAGCTGAAGCAGGAGAGGAAAGAGGCCAAGAAGCAAAGAGGATTCAGGCTGGTGAAGAGTTATGGGTGCGTCTCCCTCCTGCTGCAACAAACTCCCCTCCCCTCCCAGAAGCAGGAGAAGCATGAATCCCTGGTTTGCTGCATGCTGGGGAGTCTCCAATTGGCTGGAAAATATGTGGAGGGGATGTAGACGGCTGTGGGGAGGCATGGACTTTTGGTCTGCGTAACTGATACTCAGTCAAGTCTGTGGAGATTGTGTTTTTGCTAATAAAGAGTTAACTCCAACTTGCAACGGCATGACTTACTGTGGGCTCACTCTTTGACAAACAATTCTTCAAACAAAACAGGAGCACAAAAAGCATATATTAGGGAAAGTGCTGTTCAAAACAAAATTGCATCAGGGAACATTGCTTGTAATAAATGAAATATTTAGAAAAAAATAATACAAAATGGCCTTATTTATTTATATAACACCCTTTACCCAAAGATCACATTTACTGGTATATTGTGATAAATATGTTCACAAATGTATATGAATTTTTGCATGGAGCTTTTTTTAAAAAAATAAAGCAAAATAGCTAATTGATATGAAAATAGGGTGAACTGAACTGAAAAATGGAAAAATGAGAAATTGAGAGAAACTGCACCATCTTGAAGGACTAAATGCTGTAGTCTTTTTTATTATTATTAACCTATGAACCTAATAAATTCCTAGCCAGTAATTCATGCCCTGCCCCAGCTTAACTGTGTAGAAAAGAAAAAAAAGTTGAAAATATATGAGTTAAACTTTTCATATAAAAGCTCATCACTATTTTGAAGGAGGGATTCGAGTGTATGCTGGAAATGTAGGCTTCACAGTTAAAGTAGGTCCAAATGCTCTGTTGTCCTAGTGCAACAAATCCACTTTCAAAAACCAACCACAGACGTTTTGCGGTTAGGAAAGTGACAGAATGCAATGAATGATTTAATGGGGAGATGTATAAACACCTCACAAGCAAATCAGGATGAATACTCAATAAAGAGCAGACTTTGGCCACATTCGCAACATACATTTAAAGCACTATGATACCAGTACTAGCTTCCTGCAAAGAATTTTGGAAGCCGCAGTTTTTTAAGGGTGCTGAGAGTTGTTAGGGGACCCCTATTCTTCTCCCAAGGCTACACTTCCCAGAGTTCCCTGGGGAAAGGGATCAATTGTTAAGCCACTATGGGGATTGTAACCCTGTGAGGGGAATCTAACAACTCTCAGCACCCTTAACAAACGACAATTCCCACAATTTTGGGAGGAAGCCATGACTGCTTAAAGTAGTGTCATAGTGCTTTAAAGGAATAATGTGACTGTGGTCTAGGTCTAACTTCTGTGTAAGCATTGTGCAAGCAAATCAGAATAAACACTCAAAAAACCTATCACGTGGAGGAGCCCTAGGTGCCAGTGACCTGAGGTTTTCATGCAGCCCAGTGAATTATAAACACTTTGCACCGGCTATGCACCGGGAAGTGATGCGTTAAAGCCGTCAAACACATGTTTATTTCATGCTAAACTGTAACCTTGACTGCTCCGTCAAAGTCTCCAGCTCCTTATCTTTCACCACTTTCTCAAAGACAGCCAACATTTTTTCCCACTGACTGCCCTTGAATAGGCAGTTCTGTCGGATGGCGAGGGAGCTGTGGCGGCAATGCGCTAAGTGAGCTTTTTTGTACAGGTCATTAATAGGCCGAGTACCTTGCGCGGAAGCCGGAATCTATTGGTTGTGCTTTGTTGCTTCAGATAAGTGAGCATCATGATCTTGCTCCTTGTTCTCAGACTGTTTCGCATCATTTCCTGTGGAAAACAAGCCTGTTCCACTTCACAGCAACACAAAGTAAGATTACAGGATGCTTGAAAATACATTATGGGCTTGATTCATCCCTGCCGGCATGTTGCAGCTCCTGTGCCAGCTTGGGCAACTGCGCCTGAGGGAGGCTGCTCATTAAATGCACTGCTAGCTTCTCCAAGGAGTTTAGTGGAGGCAGATCAGCCTTGATTTGCAGACTGGTCTCGATAAGGACCTGTTCACCTGATCCTGTGCTCCTTAACCTGCATCCTGCATCTAAACCAGAAGTGCAGTAAGAGATCAAAGGGGACATCTTGCAAAATCAGAAACTCCACTGCAGGGCAATGGCGTCCAGGAAGATGATGCAGCCAAAACAAGACCCATAATTTTAGGAAAGTTGTTCCCAAACTTTCCTCCCTGCAGATGACTTGAACATTGCTGAAGGTCTTGGCAGACCACTTAATGACTTTTCTGCCAGTGGTTGTGCTAGATGATTTTTAATTGTATTTTCACAGACACACCATGTTACAAGTGAATGAAACTTGACCCTCCGGTGGCACAACGGATCAGTGTGTCTGGTTGTTGACCAGAAGGTTGGTGGTTTGAGCCCACCCAGGCACAGCTGTGGACAGGATTCCTACATTGCAGGGGATTGGACAAGATGACACTTCTAGCTCTACAATTCTATGATTCTAAGTCATGACCACTGGTGGTTCTCCAACCATATCGTCTGGGAGCCCCAATTTTAGTTCATGAGAAGAGTCTGCTGGACCAGGCCAATGGCAAAGTCCAGCATCCTGTTTTCACAGTGGCCAACCAGATGCCTATGGGAAGACTGCAAGCAGGACCTGAGCACAACAGGAAGAGTTGCTAAGACCACTAGGCCTCAGCTGTGGTTTATTTTCTTGAATAAAGATTTAACTTCACTAGCCTTGGGTGATTTATTGTTTTTTGTTGTTGCTGACCTACGCCTGACTCAAGCCCTGACAACATGCTACTAGGCTAGGTTCAATATTTTTGTGTTAATTTGTAATACAGCTTTGGTCTACAATACCTTAATGACAACCTGATACTTTATATTCCTGAGATGTTCAGGGGAGTCACTGTCCATGCCTTGCATGGGTCATAGTCACATGGAGCCACACATTCAGCACTGTGGGTCCATTTCTGAGATCAGACAGGCCTTCTTCCCTGTTGAACTTCTGGTGCTTGGTGAAGACATTAAAAAATTCCAGTAGGCATTTTAAGTAAGTTTTCTGATTTATTTGAACTGACCCCCTCCACTTTATTCCTGTTCTTTTTCTTTTTCTTGCAATTCTATTGTACACAGCTTAGATGCTACAATGTTCAGCAGGATGCAAATTGTGGAAATAAATGACATGTGAAGGCACAATTCCAAGCAGAATTACTAGATGGTGTTAATGTAAATTAATGTGAGTCATATCCCCAGAGGCAGGGGTGTGTGCCTTTCTCATGATTCAGCAGCCTTAGAGAGAATCAGGCTGAAACTGATGTGGCTTTGAGACTCCTTAAGGGTTCAAACTCTTTTTCTTCTTCTAATATCCTTATGTCATCCACCTCTTCACTCCCTCTATGCAATTTCCCCGTATTAAGGCTTGGGCAAGAACAAGGGCAAATAGGACAGAAAGGGAAGGATGTTGTCTCAGTATAAGTCCATTTGGTCCACCTAAGCCAACGGTTGCCAACTTTTCTGGGTCTGTTTGCACAGGAGTGCCATGGGTGCACCACACATGGCCCATAACCTCCCTGCCAGCAATTAAGCTTGGAAAAAGAGTTTTCGCTTTACAGTGGACGCTCGGGTTGTGAACGTTAACTGCGCAAGCGCGGGTTGCGATTCGGTGCTTCTGTGCATGCACAACCCCCGAAACCCGGTAGTAACCTCTTCCAATACTTTCGGGTTTTGGTGGGTCTGTAACCCGAAAAAAATGCAACCTGAAGCATCTGTAACCCGAGGTATGACTGTATTTCAAGACTCTTCCCCTGCCCCCAGCTGCTTTTTGCTGGGTTATCTTCCCTCCTCAACTGTAAATATCAATAAAATGGGATTGGAAAAAAGATAAGCTTGTGGCAAGTGGGAGGATGGGGGCTAACATACCACGAGTCACAGCTGGTGTTAGGGACTGGGCAGAGGAGGAATGGTGGGGACTGCCTCCCCAGCTTGACCCTTCCAGGAAGGAGGAAGAGGAAGACAGTATAGATTTACAACAGGGCTTTGCGGGAGGTCACAGCTCAGAGGCAGATGAGGGGAAAGGTTGGGAAATAATGGGAGAGGCGTAGGAGGAAGTGGAAGTGGAGCTACAGCTGATGGACACAATGTCATTGGAAATACATTCTAGAACCAGGTGAGCCTTGAAAGTAGGAGAGCAAAGAGCTCAAAGACAGAGGGTACTTAGCGGCACCTGTAGAAGTGACGAATGAGGAAGTGGGAGAGACGGGGGCAGTGAGATTTGCTCGGGACAGCGCCATTATCCAAGAGGCTGGGTTCTATAGCCTCTCTCTGTAAATATTGAATAAAAAAGGACAGTAAGAAACCTTTCCTTGTCTTTATACTTTCCTGGGCAACCATCTAGGAACCTCTGACAGCATCCTGACAGCTGGGGAGGGAAGGAGCAATACTTTCCAATTGCACCCACACAACAATTAGGTTAGGAAGAAAAACCCTTCTGTTAGCTGCAATAGGCTTCTTCAATTCCTATCAACAGGCAACATAAGAAGAGCCTACTGGATCAGGCCGATGGTCCATATAGTGGAGCATTCTGCAATCACAGTGGCCACCACGAAACTCTCAAGTGGGACCTGAGCAGAAGATCACACTCCCCAGTGGTATTTTTCAGCAACTGGTATTGAGAAGCATTACTGCCTCTGACCGTGAAGGCAGAGCATAGTCATCATGGCTACTAGTCTTCTCCTCCCTGAATTTGTCCAATCCTCTATCCATTCATTCATTCATTCATGCATTCATTCATTTCAATTGTATGCTGCTTTTCCACACACAAAAGAAGCATGCTCAAGACAGCTTGCAACAAAGAAAGAGGCATGCATTTCAAACAGACATGACTAAGACAATTTCATAATAACACAGCAAAACTACAGCGAATATAACATACCAACCCTCCCCCATTCCAATGCTATAAACATAACAAGATTGCTTAAACAACATGTAGCACCCAATAGCGAAAAAGAACAAGGGAGCTTCACAGTTTCACCTTAGTCTTGGAAATATTCCTGCCATGATGTTCCTCGCAGTTCCTTTACTTCAGCAGCTTCTTATCAGGCTTCCAAGGCCAAGAGGTAGAGCAACTGGCCCTCCCAGCTGGTAGCCATCACTGCCTTCTGTGGTGGTGAGTGCCATAGTTCAAGAATGTAAATTGCAGGGAGGATGTGACCCTGTGGTTTCTAGGGAAAGCCTCTCCAAGTGCATGAGTGACCACGGGCACAGTGTTGGTTACCCATCATCTAGCCCATATCATCTACTCTGAGTGGCAGCAGCCCGCCAAGGACTTTGGCAAAAGTTCTCTAGCATTGCTAGCTGAGTTCCTTTTAATTCAAACCCAGGGATTGATCCAAGGACCTGAAACGGGCTATACAGCTGAGCTTTGGTCCTTTCCTAAGATAAGGCCTTCTGGGTAGTGGAGCCCTCCCCTTGCAAAACTCCCTCCCTTCAGATGTCAAGGAGATAAAGAGCTACATAGCTTTTAGAAGACACCTGAAGGCAGCCCTGTATCAGGAAGTTTTCAATGTTTGATGTTTTACTGTTTTATATATGCTGTACATTTGAAGCCCAAAGCCTGGATGTGGAATTCTTTGAAAACAGCATGCCCCTTAAAATTAAGTGAAAACAAAATATACCTACTGGAAACAAACAAATACAGTTTGCCAAATACCCCACTCCAAAAAACAAACAAACAAACAAACAAACAAACAAACAAACAAACAAACAAACAAGAATGCCAGAAGAAATTGAGCTATAGACCTTTGTCTGGAAATGTGCAATAGAAAAAAGGCAAACAAAAGGATTTTTGCACCATATCAACCTCATTGCAACCTTTCAAATAACCACAAGATGGCGATATGTTTCTTTATTAACTCTCTATACGGGCTTCTTTTCCACAACTACTGAAATCTTAAAACTTGGTACAGAAATAAACCACCAAGTCAATAAAACAATCCAATTGTAATACACTAATTCTATCAGTTAGTTTATTCTCGCCCATCTCTTCTGCTTCCCCAAAAGCCTTAAGCAAAGAAAGCTCTTGTGCCTTTGACATTCAGCATCTCAAATAAAAATGCAGATGTTTTCAACAGCCATCCAAAAGAAAAGAATAGGGGAGGAATGTGAATATGCTCTTTCTTTTTAATGCCACATGAGCAAACAATCCCTAACCCCTTTGAACATTTACTCTATCACAAACATGTGTGATAAATGTATGAACACAGAAAGCAAATCCCTGAGCCATATACAGTGGTACCTTGGTTTAGGAACAACTTGGATTAAGAATGCTGCAGACCTGGAAGTAGGCCTTTTGGTTTGTGAACTTTGCCTTGGAATAAGAACATGTTTTGCTTCCTGTTGAGTGTGTTCCATTTGCAAACTGAGTCCACAGCTGCTATGGGAAAGCACGCCTTGGTTTAAGAACGCTTTGGTTTAAGAACAGACTTCTGGAATGGATTAAGTTCGTAAACCAAGGTACCACTGCTGTGACATGCTGTCCCTTTTTACAGTCTATTATACTGTATGTAAGTCCATGACTTCTGCATAAACAGCACATGCCAACACAGGCATATGTTCATTGGTCCTTTTAGACCAGTAGTATCTGAAGGATCATAATGCTATGCAGATCTGGGTCTGGTCAGTGCCTGGATGGGTGACTGCCTAGGAACCATATGTGCCCCGTCCTGAGTTCTATGATGGTAGAGATGTAAGGAGATTTTTTTTTTTTAAGTCTCCTCTGATTGGCAGGAGGTTTTCTTGGGATGGAGCCTGAGACAGTATGCAGGAAGAGCAGGAAAAGTCCTACCACTGAGCTGTGACCTGCCCCTTCTATACTGGGTGCCCTCTTAGATATCCTCATAAACGAGGAAATGCATCACCTGGAAAGAGGAAGAAAGAGGGCTGAGATTTGCATAAAATGTATACATGCTGTTGGCTATGTATATATTTAGAAATAATTAGTCTGATTTAAATCGAAATACACCTCACCAAAGTGACCAGTGTGCTTGCTTAATCTTCTGACAAGGGGTTGATGGACAGCTTTAAGGTCTCCTTTCTCTATCTTTTAGCCAGACTTGGACTGGAGTGAAGTTCATATAGAAGATTTTCCCCTGACAACCCTTCAAACAGAAGACTGTTCTCTGCAAAGCAAAGTAGAAGCCTATTCAGCAAACATGTAGAGGTAAAGATAAAACATAAAACTTCAGTACTGGCTGAGGAGAAGTGATGCTGTGGAAGGGTCCAGTGTAAGAAAGGTGGTCCATGATGATGTTCAGTGGCTGCCAGAGAAGGCAGTAACATGCAACAAATGAAATCCAAGCCCCACATCCAGAGCTGAGCCAGGCCAGGACTAAAACTGTGGGTTTGCTACGTGAGAGAGGCGGTCATGGAGGGAGACAATGGGGGCCACAAGGACAGGAAGAAGTGGATCTAGCAAGACAAACATCTAGATATAAGGAGCCACACACTGTGCAGAGAATAATCCCAAGGCAGGAAGCATATTTACAACCAGCGGGGAATAGGAACAACCCAGCAAAGAGTCTGTGGGAAAATCTGGTCAAGAATCCATGTCTGGTAATATGGCTCCATGATGGGCTGTGAAGTCAAAGTCATACTTGCCTGTTCAGCAGCCAGCAAGGTCTCTGAATTGTGACCTTAGGCTTATATGGAAATAAAGCTAACAATATTTTGTTGTGAGTTATCTCTGCCTAATGTCTGTTGCCCAGGGCTGTGTACAGGAGTCCCATTTGCTAGCTAAATGTTACACATTCGGTGGGCTATTCTTCTATATGGTGGGGTGTTCCCTTACGGTAGAAAAATCTTGGTATGCTTCATGGTGTCCTATGGATGCTTCTAGAGGCAGCCAGTGAGGCACTGTGGCAGGTTGCAAAGAGGCTACCACCACCAAGGCACTGATCCAAAGGGAAGGGGATTCCCAATCCCTTCACCAACAGAAGCTGTGAGGGTAGCTGTGTTCGAATTCTCTTTCCCTCGCCATGTGTGTGAGGCTCCTGTGTGTAGGGAGTCCCATAACATGCAAAATCACATGTGCAGAGCCGCTCCATGCCATGCAAATTTCCTCCCCCCCTTTTTCTTTAGCCAAGGAAAATGTGTTCAGGATTCAAGTGTTTGACCCTGCAAGTTTTCTTGAAAGTTGATAGCTTTTGGACTGGAGGGCTGGGGTGGAAACATCTCTCCAGAATAAGTATGCACAGAATGCATTCTAAACGGAATCACTTTAAGTGGAGCTGAAATTAATCTACTAAATAAAGGTTGCATCTGAAACTATTTAAGCTAGAGCTGAAATGTGACCATTTCAACTAGAGCTTAAAATTAATCTAGCCAAAACAAAGTTTGCATCTGAAATTGTAAATTGAAGTCACTCTTGCATTATACTGACACATATTTTTCAGAGGCAGCAATGTCTCCTGAGAGCACATCCATGCCTTTAATATGTAACATCAGAAGTGGCATTCTATCTCATTTTAATTACTTCTGAAAATTTAGGGTAAGTCATTTTCTATTGAAAGCAGTCAAATAAAAAATTGTTTTGAGAGAGGAATCTTTATATTACTTTATCTAGCACTTTGACACCAAACATGAGGATGGCTTGATATCAATTATTTTTAAACATGTGCATTATCAAATATTTTACTTATTAAACTGCATCCACGAAAGCTAATGTTAGTGAAGAGGAAAAAAGTCCCTCACTGGGATTTTGAATGACATAATCCACTGTGATAAACTTTGCCACCATGCTCTGAGCTACTGCTGTACTATTATCACTGCTGCCTTATAGTGTTCTATGCAGGTAGCTGTTCTGAAAATCTATTTTTCATTCCTTATTTAGACCTCGGATGAGGAACCAATTGTATTTCACATGCTGTTTGGCTCCAACTCCTATCAGCCCAAGACAACATGGCTGATGCTCAGGGATCATGGGACCCATAGTTCAACAATATTTGGAGGGTCACAGGTTTGTCCTCTCTGATTTATACCACTGTTGTAAAGATCTTCACACACACAAAACCAAGTTTGGTCCTCAGCTACATATAAAATATTCTTTGAAAAAGATAAATGCTTTAGCTGAGTCTCTGAAATCGCTGCTCTTTAAAACTGGCCTTCCCAGACATTTATGGATCAGAGTAAAAGCTAAGATTAAAACTGGATTTTAATGAACAAATCCCAGGTCACCAAATGACCACAGGAAAAGCTGAAACCTGGAGGCGATTGAGCTCATATAAAACGCTGCCCATTTTCAGCTCAGCGAACTCTAGCATTAATGTTGAACAGCTATGCAGAACGGGAACTATCTCACTGCATGAATTTTGAGAGAGCTGTCAGCTAAATCAAAGATCCAAAGGTTAAATCTCACACTCTTGAGACATCCTGATGAATTGTGGGACTTGGTGGTAGAGTGTGCCATACATGTGATAAATGGATTCCCCCCTCCCTGTTACTTGCTGACTTTGACTTAATAATAAACTCTCCTATAACTATCTTAAAACTTTAGGTATTAGGGACCATAGGGCTGTGATGTCTGAGAGCTAAATCATGCATATTGATGTTTCTGTTAATATTAGCATTGTGCATTTTTATTTCATCCTGTATTTAAGAAGCTCATACATGGTTCTCTCTCACCCTATTTAAACTTCACAACAATCTTATGAGGTAAGGCTGACTGAGAGAGAATGTGTGGGTCCGAGGTCCCTTTTAAAAAAAATATTATTTAATCATTTTTTTGATACAAACAACAACCGCAAAAGACACATACAACAAATACCATAATAACAATAAACTCCCTTGACAAACTCCAGAGCTGATCATAGATTTGAACCTTGATTCTTCCTGGACCTGGGAATTACAACTCTGGCCACATTCACACCATGAAGGTTATGATACCATTTTAAACCATCATGGCTTTCCCCAAATAATTCTGGGAGCTTCAGTTTGCTAAGGGTACTTTGTTAAGGGCAGTTGTGGGGAGACCCCCTGTTCCCCTTTCAGAGCTACCTACATTTCCCAGACTGTTTTAGAAGCATATTCACAGGGCACTCTGGGAACTGTATTTCTGTGAGGGAATCTGGGGGGTGGGTCTCCTCACATTTGCCTTAACAAACTGAAGCTCCCATAATACTTTGGGGGAAGCCATGACTATTTAAAGTGGTATCATAGTACTTCAAATGTATGGTGTGAATGTGGCCTCAAAATGCCTCGATGTGCTTCAAATGTGTTTTAAATATATAGTATATACCCAGCAAGGGACCCTGAGATGCATTTTAAATAAAAGGACACATTCTACTCATGTAAAAACACACTGATTCCCGGACCGTCCACTGGCAGGACTTAGAAGGCGATTGGGCCTGATCCGGTCCCCGGCCCTTAGTTTTCCTACCCGTGTGCTAGATGGCATCCTCAGATCATGGCTTATCAGGTTGGTGCAGGTGAAGATTGTCTCTCAGGGAACCTGATCCCAAGTTGCTCAGGACTTCATATACCAACAGTATAACCTTCAACTGTTCCTGCTAGAATATTGCTAGTGTTATGTATTCAGTTGTCTGTTTTCGCCTGAGCTTGAGTCTGGAGCCCCTGGGTTCTGATTCTATACATGATATCCAATCACAGCACATCGCAGGATTTGAGGCTCTGCCATTGGCCCTTAAACTCTGAGTTATGATTTGCAGCTTGTGAGTTTAGACAGCCAATCATGTAGGGAGTGGGAGTGGCCCAGGCCTTCAGAAATGTATATAAGCAGTTGCTTTGCCTCTGTTGTCCAGTTTTATTAGTTCAGTAAAGGTTTTTGCAGTTATCTCTGTGTCTTGCCTTGCGGGAACCCACCTACACTTCACTTAGCCAATGCAACTGTAATCTTGCAAGGAGGTGAGGATGGTAATGAAACTGGGATTTACAAATTGGTCCTTCACCAGTTGAATCTAGGGTTTGCATCTGGGGTCAGCATAGCTGGGCATCTGCCAAAGGGGCCTATGGGGGGGGGGAGAGAGATGGGGGTGCAATGTGGAAAACACAGGTGTACTGCAGGTTGGCAAGGACACTGCTTGAACTCTTCATATAGGACACCGGCCTGGTCTCACCAGATGGGATAAACCTAGTAATAATTTCACCGAAACTTCTTTCCAAGTAAGCATGCTTCGGATTGCAGCCACCACCAGATATATGGATGCTGAATTAATTCCACCTGCTGTTCAACCGCTCACCTTGAGCTTCATGCTGAGAGCCGGTAGTCTAATTCTGCTATGCTTTGTTCACAAAGTACATTACATAATTGATGTTAAATCCATGAAAGAATGTAATCCACAGTTGTCAGAGGATAATCAGCAAATATAAGAGGACTGCATATACTATATTATGAATAATGTATAGGTGAAACCTTTAACAAATGGGAGTAATTTTAACATGGGAATTTAAAATGTGCATACACTTATCTGCTCCCAATTCAATGGTCAATCACTTTTTACATTCAGAAAGACACATTTCCAGGTAAGGAAGGATGCCCCTATTCCTCCGCTCTTGAGCAACAATTTCCTGAGTGGGTTAACAGCCAATCCTTCTTCCCTGGGAGGTCTGGGAATTGTAGCTGAGTGAGGGGAACAGGGGTCTCTTAACAGATCTCAGCGCACTTAACCAAAAACTGCTCCCAGAGTTCTTTGGGCGAACCAATGACAGTTTAAAGTGGTATAAGGACATGGTGTGGCCTTGGAGCAAGGCAGCTCCCTATGTATGCGTGAGGAAGCAAGCTTTGGCATATTGATCCCCTTGCCAGTTAAATTGCAGTGCAGTCATATCTAGAGCCATACACATTGTGTCTCTCGCACACTATTTTCACAAATCCACTGACTGCATAAATCCTGTAGCTGCGTCAGGAACGTAAACAAACAGGAGCAGTATTGTCACCACTGGGGGGACAGATAACATTTAGGTCAGGAGACCAGGGAGAACAGTGGGTCAAAAGAAAATCACACCAACGTCACCAAAGTCCAGTTGTGTACAGGATCTGTAAATTAAATATATAACCATCTTCCACCATGATCAGTTAAAAGCTGGTTTCTGACTCCAGACAAAAAAACAGGAAGGAAAACATTCTGAAACATGCAACCCCTAAATGCCAGTACCCCCTTTACTTCTACACTGACCAATGGTAGGTAGGTCTCCAACCCTCTCTGTCCTGGGATTTGCTTCCCATTTTAGAAGGGAATTACAGTTCCAATTTTTCTATAATGAGACATTTTCATTTAAACCCCCCCCCCACAATTCTGCACCTTGAGATTTGAGAGTTGATTTTAGGTGTGTGTGTGTGTGTTTCATTTCCAATGTGTGCTTACTACCAACTTGGACTAGTTTAAATAAGCTTGCTCCCGGGCAAAGAGCGAAAATCCTCCTTGCTAATCCTCTGAGCCACTGGCAGTAGCTTTGTGAAGATTTGAGGCTTAATGGTTCAGCCTGAAAGTGGTGTCCCTTCATTACTCCTATATGATTTATCAACTGCCTTTGACACTTTCGACCAAGAGATGGCCTTGAGTCTTTTGCAGAACTCAGGTCCTGCTCTGACCAAGCGTCCGATGCATTTGATTGGAGTAGGCATTTTCCATTGTTCTCCATGTCTTTCTAACCTCCTTTAGCACCCTCTTCCCCCTCAGTTCTGTAATATCCCCCAAAGCTTTTCAATTTCTATATCCCATCACTCCGCCCCAAGCTATTGCTTTTATACTGATGACACATGATTTTAACTCTTGCTGTTTGTTTAGGAGTTTGGGTGAAAATGCATCGCCTTTAGGAGGAACGCTCTATCTAACTCAGCATTTCCACCCCCCAGTCTAATATATTTTGTTAATTATCTCTCCATTTCTCTCCCTCGTAAAGAGCTTTTGATGGCCATCTCAATGTTTTTCTTTTTCGATTATGTGTTAAGAGTTTGGTAGTTGCTTTGCCATTCGTCAAGTCTCTGCTTTCAAACCCACTTTATTCAGACAATAAAATGTGATTTTATCATCTCTGAAATGTTGCAGAGAGGAGATAGGGAGAATAAAAACTCAGAGGGCAGGAGCCCTCTGATTCACATTAGGCCTGGGTTTATGATGAGTGTTGTGGGTGCGACTGGAGAACATAATGTGCTGCTGCATAGGTGGGAGGAGATGAAACTGCTGCCTTTTCTATGGCATCACCCAGCAAGGTGCAAATGAAGTATGAAATAAAAACTCCCTGCCCACTCAGTGCACAGACAGAAAACAGATATTCTTTTAGCATCACTGCTGAGAGATGTGATTTGCTGTAATATTAAGCTCACACAGAGCAAGAAAAAGCTCCCCAAGTTTTACAGATGGAGAACCGAGGAATACATTATGTCTTGTTGGGCCATCTCGGCTCCCTGCTTGCCCAGCAATCAAGGAAATGCTGCTGTGGTATTCAAGAGCAGATATTTAATCAGCCCAAACTAACCTGAAGGTGAGGTGATCACTGTGTTCAATAACTTGGCGTCAGAAACGATGCATTGAGTGCGATGAAATGTACACAAACGTAGCAGAGGATGAGGGTGGAAATCAGGGCAAAAGAGACAGAAGTCGTAACGGAGGGACGATGCTACACATCCACAACAACGGTTTGTTTCATTATGTCATTCACCAGGGCTGCTTGCAGACAGAGTGCCCTGGAGCTATCTGATTGGCCAGGATCTTTCTGCAGTGCACTTTGTCTCCAGTTGTGGAACACAATCTGGTTTATACAGACTGATGCGCAGGAAGAATGGATGAATGACCATGTCTTACGCCAAAGGCAAGGATGAATGACACGAATACTTTGACACTCAGAGTATTAGAATGCTCAGCAGTATTATAGTTCTGTCCAGAAGTACTACACATTTATGGCAAGGTATATTATTACCTTATTATGCTGTTTTATTATGCTTTATTATATCTTTATAATGAGCCTGGCTTTATTGTTCTCAGATGTAGCATATATTTTTTATTCTCTTCAGCCTCACACAGCAGGGCTGCAGACACTAGTATAGTATAGGATTGTGAGAGAGAGGTATTCTAATTAGAGCAGACCAGCCATCATAATTATGAGTGGTTTTTGTGTGAAACTGCATGAATATTTGGAGGAATCTGTGTGTGATCTCTCTGGAACCAAGATCAGAGCACCCTTGATATCTCCTTGGTCACTGCATAGAAAGCCATCTATTCTTGCAATGGGGCAAGACCTGAAAGTAGTCAACAAATTATTTTATCTAGTCTTTAGCAGGATACATGAATTCAGTTATGGTAAGAGAGCAACAACAAATTGTCCATTTCCCCCAGTAAGGAAATTAAAATAGGTTTATAAAGCTGTGGGAGACAGTCTCTCAGGTACTTTTCATGATATATTTGGGTTTTGCCAGGTTCTGGTCTGATGCTGGATCTCACAGAGACAGTGGTAGGGCAAGGTTGTCTGACCACAGATAGCTCCAAGTAAGCAACTTTGTCCAACTTAAAGCAGACATAGGCAAACTTGGCCCTCCAGATGTTTTGGGACTACAACTCCCATCACCCCTAGCTAACAGGACCAGTGGTCAGGGATGATAGGAATTGTAGTCTCAAAACATTCGGAGGGCCGAGTTTGCCTATGCCTGGTTTAAAGTAAATGGAGGCATTTTAAACCTCCAGGTAACCTCCAGGCTTTACCCCTTCAGAGCATTAAAGGGTTAATCCTGTGGCCTGAAGGTAGGCACTCCTCCATTCCATAGCCTCCTTCTTGGTGCTCTCACAGTGCAAATGGAGCAGTGACATGTGGTGGTAGATCCTCATAGTCTGGGAGGTTCTCCTGCCCAACCATCTCAGGTGCTATGGTCTCCTTATATCCAGCACTCAGCTCAGGGTCTGGAAGTTGACCTGGCTCCATATCTGATGCATCTGCAACCTTTGTGTGTCTAGCTTGCTGCTGCATTAAGGGGTCATGACAGGCTTCGCATGTGAAGGCCCGGCTGATACCTTCTCCAAGACACAATGGGAAACTCTGATTATTGCAAATGAATTGTGCTACATTGTTCTGTGCATATGCTATCAGTGATGTTAACTCTTTATTCAAAGAAACGAACAGACCTATTGAGCACAGCAACTTACCCCAATGACGCAGTTGTGAAGACTGAAGGTCCGCCACCTTCCCACAGCTCTCCAAGTCTCCTTCTTTCCTGGGTCCTTCCCAAGCAATCTGATGCTGCTTTGTCTTGCCTGTCTTTGCTCCTCCCTCTTCATTCCTCTTCTGCTCCTGGGAGACCAAGGGTAGGGGGAGGGAAGCGTGTCTCAGCAGGAGGGGGAGACACCCTGGATTCTTCACCACCCTGAACCCTCTCTGCTTCTTGGTCTCCCTCCTCTCCTGCTTCAGCTTCTGATTCTGGACTTCTCTCTGCCACAGGCTCCCCCTGCTCACTAAACCCTGTCATCTCTTCAGCTTCTGATACCTCCTCCTCCCAGTCTGCTTCCTCTTACCACTCTATCATCCCACCACCAATCCCCTGGCTCTGAGCCTTCTTCCCTTGGGGGTTTCCCCGCAGGTGCCACCCACTACTCCTTTGCACCCAGCCAGTCCATGACATCATGACAGGCAAGCACTGACTTCATTATAGATCCTGTCTCTCCAGAAGAAGCCTCGGTTGTGCAGTAAAACACACTTTCGGACCCTGGATCACATTCGAAAGCAGCCTTCCCCAGCCTAGTTTGCTTCAGATGTTTTGGACTTCAACTTCAACATTGGTCATGCTGGTCATACTGGGTAGGACTGATGGGATTAGTATTTCAAAACACCTGGAAGGTACCAGATGGGTGAAGGCTAGGTGAATAAAGTGACTCCTGAAAATAAGCAGTTGGTCCATTCCTAATCTATAACTGTGGTCAAAGCATATAAGACTTACTTAGAGTCTCAAGTAATCATTTACCTTTTGGTAAACAGAATGATGTTAATCTCTGCTGAAATGTGAAACAACTTGGGGAGTTAATTTTGAAGTCAATTTTTTATAGGCATTCTGAAGTTGTGCCTGCTTTGTCTGGGGATGTGTGTGTGTTTCTGGATGTGTGTGTGTGTGTGTTTATTTTGCAATATAATTTATAATTCCAATTGCATGGAGACTGAGACTGGCAGAGTGATAATTTTTTGTTTTGTTTCAGATAGTCCGTAAATTCTGAATATCAGAAAGCATCCTCATTGTGACAGTCAAAGGGGGCACTGGAAACAGGCCATGAATTGTTGCAAATAAAAATAGGATACAGAAACAGTGTATTAAGCGGGTTAATAGAATCTCTCTAATCAGATAATAGAGAACCACACTATAAATTGCTTTCCTCTAGAATAAATATGGCTCCAAGGGTTTGCTTAAATTTGGAATGTTCCACATCATTCTATGTAGGAAGATTATATAACTTTTAATTCATTCTTTTTGCTCTTGTCTGTTCCTAAAGGTATTTGGTCTAATATGCATGATTTTGTTGAATGTACATTTTTATATCAGTCCTACTCTGTTCTTGCTAGGAAGGCTAAGAACTATAAATCATTTTCATGTGGATAAGCTTTGGTATTTCAACTGTCTTTATTTATAGGTTGTACAAGCATGGACACAAAACTAATATATTCATATCCACCTGCTTTGAAATTATGGCCATCTTTATTATTAAAGACCTTGTATTTGGAAATCTTACAATCCAAATGGGTATTTTAATGGAAATCCAACTATATAATCAGCCATAGGAATTTATGGAACATATCTGAAATAAGTATGAAAGATCATGAATGGAACCATTTTTTTCTGACTGGATTTTTTTTTTTTTTTTTGGAGCAGGGAAGATGTTGTTTTGTTTCATCTCAATCTTTGATCTCTCATCTTTATTTCATTGCATTTGCAACATGGGTTTCCATCTTGCTCCCTCAAAAGGAACAGATAACATGAAGGTTTATCCCATGGTAACTGACTTCTTGGATCTTATTCTTACAATGCAACATCACCTTAATGCAACTGCTTAAAGGCAAATTACTGGTACTGGATAGCTAAAAATTGGGGCACAGAGCAGATACTCTGAAAGGTATTAGAATCACGACACAATGGTACACATTGCTGGAGAGGGGAGCAGTGTACAGCGCATGCACACCAAGTGATTTACACAAGAGGTAGAGTGCTTGTAAATAGTGTGCAGCTGCAGCAAACACTGAAGACGGGTGTAATGTATTCTTCTAATATAATTGATGTATAAGCACCAGTTGTGGCTCCGTAAAGGTACTTGTAAAACATGTATAAAATATTATTCTTCTGGCTTCTTCAATAGGCAGTTTCTCTCCAAATTATGGGAAATGGTCACTTAAGTGAAAAGTAGACTTGTTTACTTTCGGTTATTCAGCTATTTATATTTGGCAGATGCCAATGTCTTCAGGCCAATTCACGCAATATGTTCTCCCCTCCCCTCTGTACACAAAGTCCCAGATATTCCTGGTTGTGTGCTCACATGGACAGATGTTATATATGAATGGGATGAAGATAGGTATAAATCAGCAATTCCCTTAATCAGTGATTTCGAATCATTTTACTGTCTTTGCTCTCGGCAAGACAAGATGCATCGACTAGGGCTGAAGTAGAATGCTCCAATCCTTGTTGTACAGAAAGAAGCTCTGATTTTCCAGGAACTCAGACTCAACTCGAATACACTGAAGTCTTGACATGGTTCCTCTGGGCAGATCCGCACCAGACATTCAAAGCACATCCAATGCACATTTAAAGCACATGGCTTCCCCCTAAGAATCTGTAGTTGGGAGCTGTAGTTTCTGCCTCACAGAGCAGCAATTGGACTTCAGCTCCCATCAGCCCCAGCCAGCATGGCCATTGGTCAGGGATAATGGGAGTTGTAGTCCAACATTTCAACAGGGCCACGGGTTCCCCAGTCTGTGTCACAGAAACACACAGTGGTTTTAACTTGCATGAACATTTGGTGAAATGGGTCAGTGGGCACTCGTTGTGACAATGTGAATCTAAGGTCCACAAACTTTCCTATGTGGGGAGAGCTATCCATGTAGGGCTTTATCAGATGTGGCGCAGCATCCAGATTTCCTGGCCAGTCCACAAACTGAGTAATGAAATGATATCTAAAACACTGTTATGAATGTGTTCCTGAGGTTAAGAGCTCTCTGGCAACTGCTAACCAGTTGTGCTAGCAAGAACTGGAAGTAAGGAACTATGGGGTTTTCTGCATAAGGTACTACGTGTGTTGGGATGTGATCAGATTCTAGGAGAGGATATATTTATTAGGTATTATCCTTCCTCACGTTTGTGAGTGCAGCAGTGTGCCATCCCTTTGCAGCCTAAAAGGGAAGCTTAGATAGGCTAGTTTAAGCCTTTTAGTTGAAGTAATCCAGGATGCTTTAAGGCAGACTGGATTCTCCTGGTATTTCCTCCTTTTCTCCCACAAACAGTCTAGTAAAAGGTAAAAAATAACATTTACTCACTCGGAACACTCATTGAAGAGTAGCAGATACAGCAGCTTTGTTCAGGAAGGCTTAAAGCAGTAATTAAATTACGAAGACATACCGTATTTTTTGCTCTATAAGACTCCCTTTTTCCCTCCTAAAAAGTAAGGGGAAATGTGTGTGCGTCTTATGGAGTGAATACAGGCTGTGCAGCTATCACAGAAGCCAGAACAGCAAGAGGGATTGCTGCTTTCACTGCGCAGCGATCCCTCTTGCTGTTCTGGCTTCTGAGATTTAGAATATTTTTTTTCTTGTTTTCTTTCTCCAAAAACTTGGTGCGTCTTGTGGTCTAGTGCGTCTTATAGAGCGAAAAATACGGTACTTAAGTCTAGCTTAAAATGGTGTCGGAGTTTGGAGCTCAAACTAGCAGATGTTCTCACATTGCTGGCAAAGTGGAAAGAGGAAGAGAAGAAAGAGGATGTGCCCAGGCAGGTAGGAGAATATACAGCTATGCTCTCCGCCTGTCAGGGCACAGTGGGAGTGTCTCTCACAGAGTCCTCTCCAAGTTTACAGGGAAACTCTGTGAGCTTCAGCTCCTATCACATGTCAATCTAGCAAAACATGAATTATTGGTTTGACTGCACTTTAAATACCCCACAGTGTGCGCCATGATGGCTTAAGCTAAGGCAGGCGCCTGAATTTCTAATAGAAACACTGGAATTCATATGTGCTGTTTCTGCACAATTTCAGTGACATTTGCTAAGACTGCTGGAATGGTTGTGTTCTCTTGCCTTCCCAAACTCCTAACATGGCACTATGCTTTGGTAAGAAGCTCAGCGGGCTGTACCTAAGTGGTAGAGCACCTGCTTTGCACGCAGATAGTCCCAGGTTCAATCCCCAGCAAATCCAAGCAATACTGAGAACGTCCATTTGAAATCTTGGAGAGCTGCTGCTAGTCGGTGTATCAAGAATTCCTAGCTGGATGGACTAACAGTTTGATTTGGTGTAAAGCAGCTTCCTATTTAAGTTCCACCTTTTCCCCAGAACCATGAGGACTGGCGTCTTCCTTTCTAAAAATAGTGGAAGGATGATTGTTTAGAGGCAGACACTTGCTTTACACACATAATATTTCAGATTCAATTGCTGGCATCTCTAGGTCAAACTGGGAGCAACCTTTGTCTGAAATCCTGTTTCAATCTCAACAAGTGCTTTCGATCTTGCTTTTCAGTATCTAGGTATGGCTTTACCAGTATCCAAAAAGGCTGCCATATTGTGTGAAGGAAATAAAGTCGCACGGACGCTTGAAAACACCCACAACTTTATTCCATTACGCAAGTCCTGCGCATTGGACTAAAAGTGGGGCGGGGTGACTAAAGCACACACATTCTCCTTGCTTTGTGACTGATCGTAACGCCGTCTTTCACTTTGGTAAACCAGCAAAAGACAAAGAGCCAAGGATATTTATAACAGAAGGAATTTACCTACCGGGTAAATTGGCTGGCTTGTCCTTGCTGAATCACCTGTTCCAATGATACTTTGTGAATTTCACGCCTTTCATGAATACAGAGAGCAGGACAAAATGTTGCCTGAGGAGATGAAACAAAAGGTTCTGTCTGAGACTGTTCTGGAGAGCGTCTGCCTCGTTCGTGCATGTAAAGGCCGCAGCCCAGTAGATGGCAATCTACTCCTGCCACTGAGGCGCATTGTTTTATCGCTGGAGCTGTTGGCTCCCTTTTCTCTTTGCTTATTATAATTCATAGAAAGGTTAAAAAATAAGAAATACTCAGAATTCATGGGAAACCTTTGTTAGGTTTAGAAAGGCAGACTACGAGGGGTGGAGACGACTGCTCTTGTTTATTCAAATACTGGTTAGCCATGTCTTCAAGGGAGAGAAAAATGTAAGGCGAGCTTCCCCATCACTATGAACTTGCTTCAGTCCATTGGGTGTTTAAGTACAGGACACACACAAAGTCATTTCGCCACATTATTGTTCTTCTCTCTTGTGTACAGCGGATCTTTTAATGAACTTCTCAGAAGAAAGAAAATGGCTGGCTCCCTCCCTCCCTCGCCCCCTCCCCTCCTCCTCAGTCTCGGGGTTTGCGGTCTCTGAAGAGGTGGGCTGGAAGCCTGAATCAAATGCAAATAAAAGGAGTGTGTATGAGAGAGAAGAACACTGTTTTCATATTAAGCTGACAAACTTGCCACATTAAAATAATCATTCCGGGGAGCAATGTAGGAGCCTGGCTTTCTATTCTAAAGCATGGAGCCAGAATTTCAGCTCCCACCCCTCACAGAAAGCCTTTTATTGCTAAATAACAGATTTATGCAACTAATCTCTATGATGTTTTAAAAAGCGATACAGACGCAGCACTTTCTCCTTTTTCAGTGGCACATGGGGGGAGTGGGGTGGGGTGGGGAGAATCTAATCTTCTGCTTCTGTACGAAACAGGGCTTAATTATTTGTTAAAGCTCTGAGCCATAGAATTGGTTTTCACTACCTAGTCTCTATCCTGGAATACAATGGGTAATGATAAACGAAACAGCAGAATGCTTCTGAGAATAGTCAAAGTGTCTTTTCCTCCACAGCAAATAGCTTTGCCCATTCCCACTTATTTGGGTATGAAGGACTACAGCATCCACAACAGATGACACGGCTTCCAGGCACCTTTGTTTTCAGAAACTGAGCAAAGGGATGGAATGAGAGGGAAGGGCATGATGATAAGTTTGCACGCAGAAGGTCCCAGCCTCAACCCACAGCATCTTCAGGTAGGGTTTGGAGAGAATGCCACCAGAAACCCTGGAAAGTCACTGCCAGTCAGTGTAAGCAATGCTGAACTAAATGGAGCAATGTTCTGACACAGTAGAAGGCAGCTGCTTATGGGTGGGGATTTTTTGGGGAGGGGTGTTACATGGTAATTGCAAGTATTTATTTGAGAACACTTGCTTGATCACTGAGTCCTTTAAATAGATCATAGATGACTCTTGGGTACAGAACTTCTACTTAGCTCTTGTGGTATGATGGTTCTGTCATTTATATATATTGTCTATATCAGAGGTTTTCAACCTTTATGGGTCCATGGCTCCCTTGACCAACTACATTCCTTCTGTGGCACCCCTGTGGGATGAGCCGGCAGCCCCTCATCCCTTTTCAAACACCCTCCCTTGTGGAGTGTTCCCTCAGTCTCCTCCCCCTCTCCTTGGGAGTCCTCTGGGCAGCTGCAGCTGCCGCCCCTGCCCCAGAGAGAGGTGCCTCCTCACACTGCCCCAAAGGGGCCTGGGAAGCACTCCCTGGTCAGCCCCAGAGGCACCATTCACCTGGGGAGCTTGAAGCTAGAGCTGCTGCAACAAACAGCTGTGCAAGCCTTTGGGAGGCAGAGATGCAAGAAGGCATCAGAGGAGGGAGGGAAGGAAAGAGGGACAGAGGCCAGTGTTGCCCACAGCACCCCTGACCATTATTCAAAACAAAAGATCTAACACCAGCTGAGCGAAGAAGAAGTGGAAAGGACAGAAGTAAAGTCTGAGGAAACACAACCTACAGTGCAACAAATCGTGACTCAAGAAGGAATCAACAAAGGAAGAATAGATTCCTTTCTGTTTATCACCTCTGACAGGTTCAGGTAACATATTACACGTGTTGCTGCTTTACTTCCAACAATTATAATAGTTCAACCCAGGTGTTTCTGTCAATTACTCCTTTGGCTGCTTGAGTGCTGTTGCTACTGGGCTGGTGTCCAGTAATATTCAACATCTGGGGCTAGTAGGGTCTTAATGATATTCTCTCTGCTGCCATGTCTAGAATAAACTGTGCTAAGTATTCATTTTGGCTGTTGATCTGTTCTGTCCTTTGGAGTGACTACACATTTCAGCCAGAGCCCCAGTTTTGATTGTAACAGTACATCTTCCTTGGATATGATACAGCATAGAGATTTTCTTCTGACTATAAGACAGGCTGTCTTTTTTAATAATATGCATCAGGTCCTGATATGCTATGAAAAATTATCATTCCAAATTTATGTTTTACTTACACTTTCAATCCTATAAAGTGTGTAAAACATTGCAACCTTAAACAATGATTTTCATTGATAATAATCAATGATTTTCATTGATAATAATCAAATATCTCTGGTGTTTTTCACCTTTTGGTTGCAAAACTCACCTTTCCTCATACTAGGATAACCATCAAAACCCACACATCTTTCTTGGATTACCCTTTGGTACACCTCTGGAACTGGAGAGATACAAATGGGAACGTCATAAAACTGCACCTGCCAAAAGGTTACTGAGTGCACATTTATTGGAACTTAAATTATCCAGCTGAATTTGCCCAAATCCATTGCTGGCATCAGTGGCTGAAACCAGTTGTGTTCCAAATAATTTCCTGTGCAGTTGGCAATTGAAAATGTTGCCTTAGTTTTGTTTTGCAGAAATATTTTGGGTCCAAACCTATCATTAATTGTTATTATTTCATACGTAAGGTCCAAACATATTATTTGGTCTCAATTATCCATACAAACGGCAGGATTGACCCACTCTAGTTTTTCACCTCTTCCTCTAGCAGCAGACTTACCGTAGTTGCTGAAAGCAAACAGATTGCAGCCAAAACAAGGTCACTGAGAAACAAGAAGAGCTTATTAGCGTGTTCAGTGGAACCTCCAGATTTGCAGAAGTACAAAAATCATAATGGAGAATAAAATCAAGGGGGTAGTCCCCCAAAAAGCAACCCAGTGAGGCTTGAGCATACTCAATAGCCGTGGCATGTTCAATGTCAATTGGCAAAGAAAAACTGAAAACTGGTGGTGGGAGGTGGGAACAGAATGGAATAGCCACTCTGGAGGAATGCAGGGCTGACTGAAACCTTGAACCTATGTCTAGTAGGAGCTGAGAATACATTGGAACATTGTGTTGAAGGTCTCAGTTGCCTTGACTATAACTTTCCCTTTTCTCTCTCTCTTCCAAATGATGCAGTTAAATGTGAATGTTATTCCTTAGTGCAATGGAACTTTCAGAGCTGCATAAATTACAGTTGCTACCTTTGGATGTGTTTCGATGGAAGATTGTTCTCATAAGCAATATAGGCCTTGAAACACATCTTTGTAATTTGCATGCACATCCCAGTGTGCTTCTAGGTCTGCTTCTATTAAATTAACTCTTTATAGCAAATTTGAAATTAGTCATGGCTCTAAACCCCAGCCTTTATTTACCGGCTTGTGAACTGCATGAGAGAAGTGTCCAAAGGAGAAGACATGCACACAGTGGCAGGCTCTTTTGCACCCTAGGCAAGCCTAACTTCTTGCACACCCCCCCCCCCCCGGCTAACTTCAATTTTCAGAAACAGATGCATTGTAGAAAAACAATGAAAAACTCAAAACTGCTAAATTTATCTTAAATTGCAAGAATGAGTAATACGACAATCTTTGGTTATCTTTCTCAAATACCAAATGAAATGTTTTAGCACACAACTCATTTTGAATAACTGTGATGTTAAAATTTAAGCATCTTAAAAGTTCAAATTTTAGGCACATCAAAGTCTCATTTTGTGTGCCTTTTGTTTTGCAGATTCTGTCACCAATTTCTACAGGTTGAGTGCTAATGCTTGGGCATGTTCAACTGCTATAGTTGCCAAGCCAACTAGTTTCTTTTGCAACAATGTTGAGTATATATAGATTTTTAATAAGGTTAAGCTTTGAGTTTAAACTCCTTTCACCACTTGCCACTGACATTGGGAGTGTGAGAAGGTTCCTTAGAGCAACAGAAACATTAGGCACATCATGCAGGAGTTTTTGTTGTAGTATGAAGTAGTACTCCTTGTGGCAGAAAAAGATTTTAGAAGTCTTGGAGCTATTGCTGTAAGTTCACAGCACAGATACTCAGCATCAATGTATTTCTTTCCATTGTGTATCAATGACCCCCCCCCCCAAATTCTTGTAAGCCTTAAGTACATATTCAGTAGATTTTTTGTTGATACTGTATACAGCATATAATACAGGAAGCCAAATAGAGAATTATATTGTTGTAGCTGTTGGAATCTCTCTTCAACAGATTTTATGCCCATGTCTAAGACAGCATAGTAGAAACCTACTTTGAATTTCTGCTTTTGGATCTTTCTCATTTTAGGCCTCATACTCAAATTGCAGTTTCTTTCTCCTTTTTCTAACTTGTTCTGTCTCAAGGTTTGGTGATATTTCTAGCTCCCTTGCAATCTCAGCAGCATCTATCAAAACGTGTTGAAAACCCTCATCATACCTATAGCCCAGAAGGTAATTCTTGGTCACTTGCAATTGGTTTGTAGCTGAATTTAAATCAGCTTCCAACATCAAAAAGGATGTTGTACCATGTAACAAGGAAGACCACAAACTTGAACTTGAAAATTGTAGCATCAAGGGCCTTAGCTTTAATTCAGGAAATATTTCCAGATAAACTTGTTCATTAAAGGCTTTTTCATTAAAGATCTTTATTCAAACAACATATATACTACCAAGATGGTATCACAAAGCATCAATTTGACTCTCCCGTCTTGTTTTGCTCAATGGCGTAACAGTTATGCCTGTGTCTGATGCATGACCAGTTAGAATTTGCCAGCACTGAGTTGATGCAGATAAATAATTATAGAACTGTTGAACCAAACCAAAGAAACTAGTTGCTTTCAGACAACACTTAGCAGCATCATTGACTACCAAGTTTAAAGACAAAAAGGCACATGGGTTTATGTCCAGGACAGTCTTCTGTAAGCCATTTTCTTTGCCTTTCATGTTGCTCCTATTATTATAACCTTGACCAGGCAAACGCTCAATTCACAGCACTGATCTTCAGCATCAATACATTTGTTTCCATTATGCATCAAATATATTCTGAAATTCTTACAGGCCTTGAGTACATATTTAGTAGCTGTTTTGTTGATACTATATATACCATACTGTTCTTCTTGTCTAATTTCCTGTTGGTTAATATTATCAAGTGTTTCCCTTTAGATAAGTGCAATTCAAGTTCTCTCCAGGGCTGATAGCTTTCTAAATGGTCAATATTCCTCTAATGTGAAGACAGAATTGCTCCAATTTTCATCGAGTCTTTTGAACCTGTTTCTTGTCGGATTGGTGCACCCTTTATTTTTGCCGAACAATTTACGGGGTGGGGTGGGGACCACCTATGTCTTTCGAAGTTGAATATATCAGCCATTGACAACACACTTCTTCACCAAATTCTTCAAAGTATAAAATAAAAGCAAAACCTTATCAGAAATTTATAAGATATAACAAAAAGTAATCCGTATAAAACTATGCCCCTCGGCTGCTGCCTAGTTGGCTTAGTGACAGCACTGGCCCTGCATACACAGCACTCAAAAATCCAAATGAGCTGATGGACCTAAAAAGGTTGGGGACCCCTGCTGTAGTCTTTCCTTTGCTCTAAGGCTGGCTGCCTCTTAGTTTTTAGAAAGTACTTTTGAACAGCAGGGTATCTATTTGTTCTTCAGCTGCCCCACTGCTGTCTCAGTGTCTTTGTAGCAGCTATTTCCTCTGCCCTGCGTATATCCTCCGAGGTGGCATGCTCCAGGTTTAAATCAGTCTCTCTCAGTAATCTGCTCTCAGTTTATCTGAGCTTATGCAGTGCCCTATGCAATCTTTTAGAAGTGATTCAAATCACTCCCCAAACTCACATATTTGTGCTGACAGCTTTAAGTCAGTCATAAGTAGACCTAGGCTTTCTCCTCCATTCTAAACCATGAAGATTTTGAGCCTTTCATTTGAATCATTTCTTCTGGGTGCTCCATATTTTGGCTTAACTATTTTATTTTTCACTTCACCCTCCCCACCAGATGCCACATAATACTGTACAGTGGTACCTCAGGTTACATACGCTTCAGGTTACATACACTTCAGGTTACATACTCCGCTAACCCAGAAATAGTGCTTCAGGTTAAGAACTTTGCTTCAGGATGAGAACAGAAATCGTGCTCCGGCGGCACAGCAGCAGCAGGAGGCCCCATTAGCTAAAGTGGTGCTTCGGGTTAAGAACAGTTTCAGGCTAAGTACGGACCTCCGGAACGAATTAAGTACTTAACCCGAGGTACCACTGTATTTGTCTTGGTGCAATCTCAGTAAAATGATGCCAGAGGTTACTGGAGTGCAGGGAAACAACCTGTACTTAACACTGTGCAGCATTTACACCAATGGCAGATCTTAAAATGGCTGCTGCCATACAGAACGGTTTCCCTTAGTGAAACCACAAACAGAAGACTTTGGCTCCTATCAGTAGTGACTGGCATGGTGGGGCTCTGCCACTCACTTGGCTTCCCTCCGGCTATGTTGCTGCTGCATACCGGGATAGAGGGGGAGAGCGAGGCAGTGAGCCTAGCAAAAAAGTTTTAGTAAATGGTGGAAGCGCCCAAGAGTCAGCACCTCGTGAACAATAAAGAGTGGACAGCATTCAGATGGTGGCTGCTACCATGGAGACGAACCACTTCTGTGCTGTTTGCCAGTAGGCTGCAGCAGTATTAGCAATGTTTCCTCCAACAATCTTTGTGATCTACCGGGCCTGTAATGGGGAAGGTGTCCTTGAGCATTCCCAGACAACAGGGACCTTGGAAAATGTCCTGTGTGTTCCTGGACTCCCTGTGCCTTGGACAGGCACACCAACTCGGGTGGGGGGCAGTCCAAAGGTAACTCAACCCCCTAAATCAGTGGTGTCCAAACTTTTTTCAAAGAGGGCCAGATTTGATGAAGGGCCATGAGGGCCGACCAAAGGGCCAAGCTTTTTTTAGGATTGAAGTTGTTGGGGTTGTTTTTTTAGGATTTTACCCCAGGAAATAAACTGCCACAGGGGCCAGATTAAACTGACCAGCACGCTGGATTAGGCTCCCTAAATATTAGTTTTAAGGGGGCCAGGCCCTCTCAATCTTCAGGCAGCCCTGCGTATGTCAAGCACGCATGATGCCACACGTGTGACGTGCACCGCAGGCCCAGTGGTGGGCTCCTTCAGAGCGCTCGGCCTCCTGTGTTGTGTGTGCATGATGTCGCACCCATGAAACATGTGTTTGACACCCCCCCAATCTTGGGAAAAATCCAGTGCCTATGGCCTGGGATGCAAGCTGTGGCACCAGGCTAAGCACAAGGGAGCGAGGGTAGCCTCGCATGGAAACATCCAGTGAGACTTCCATGTCAGTGCTTCCTCACCAGCAGGAAAGCTTTGGGGAATAAAAGCAGGGTGGGGTGGGGGTATAAGAGTTCAGAGCAAGTCTGTGGGGATCAGTGGGGTGGGTGGCAGATGCAAAAAAGATGGCTCCATTTATAATGGAGACCACGCTGTCCATTTCATTGGGTTTCTTGCAAAAATCAAAGATTACAACTGAACAAGAACTGAAAATGGAACTTTGGACAGAGGGCAACCCACCCCTTAGAATGAGCTCCTTTCATAGATGGTACCCCTTCCTTCTTCTGTTATGGGGACTATGGAGAACCTTGAAGAAAAGGGAAAACGTAACATGGACTGGCAATAATGATCGTTTGCAAACTGGTTTGTGTTTGCTGCAGATATAAAGAAGAGAATGCTTTTGCTTTGAAAAATGGCAGAAAATAGAGAAATAAGTCTTGGGGAAATAAGAGCAACTTCAGGGAAATGGCTCAGTACCACCTTAGGACTGCTTTTCTAATCAAATGGTGAAAGGTAGTATTGCCACTGCAACACTCCACCCCTGTCTTTTGCTCAGGAGGAGCACCACCAAACCAAACTTCCCATCTACTTTGCTCCCACCCTGGGTAAGGGTCACGGGCCTGTCTCATACAGTGCTTGGCCTACAATTCTGTATTCTGACTGACTGGGTGGGGTTGTCCCTGCAGCTGTACAAAAGGGCAATCCCACCGCAACTGACCACACCACAGACCCTATCATTATAGCAAGGCAGGTGCTGGACCACACCCAGTTCCCAGCTGTATCCACTCAGCCAGCAATCAAACAATACCAAACATTGCGATCAACCCCAAAACTCAGGCAGATATCGCACAGGACAAAGAAAATGATGCAGGCAAACACCTACTCCAGCACCACACTGTCTTGCTGGATTTGTGTTTTTTGTTCCTTAACTGCTTTGATTCAGTTTTGCAACAGCCTTACGATTTCTCATCACTTACTGGTTTAACAAGTAAATATCATCTATCATGATCCACCGTTAGCCATGTTGTTTGGTCTCCAAAATTGCCTTTTGCAACAAATGAAAGAAAGCCAGCAAGGCGTTTTGGTGCCCATGTGGCCTGGTGTTTAAATGGCTGCCGTCAGTAACTGAATTATTGGTGCTAATGTATAATTAATTTTTAAATTAATAAATAATAAAATGAACAACTTGCTGGCTGCAGGGAAAATGCAATAGAACAATTAAGGAATGACACCGAGGGAATGAATTATTCATACGTTAACACAGAAAAGGGGGACTCTGGCCTTTTTATATAATTATTTTTTTTACCCAAGTTTCTCGCTTCAGATTGAAATGTCCAAGATAATCCAGTTTTAGAGTGAGAAATATTATCATATCCTGCAATGCAAGAAACCTAGTAATCCTAAATAGAGTTTGTAGAATCTGATGCGCCTGTGTGAGAGATGGGTTTTTTTTTACACGTAGTCAAGCAAAATAAATAAATAAATAAATAAATAAATAAATAAATCGAGCTTTACTTGCCTGCCAGCTATTTTTTTTCTCCAATGCTGGTGGAGCTGCAGAAAGGAAAGGAATTAAATAGAGGGAAATGATGCTTTTTCTATTGCCTTGCCTAACTTAGTTCAAGCCACTGGGAATGTTGTGGCATGGTGTCAAGTGCACACATTCTGAACATAGTTCGGCTGCAGAATTTGCTCCCACAAAAAGCAGGGATGGCTTTTTAAAAAAAGGATTAGAGAAAATCATGGAGGCTCCAGCTATTGATGACTACTAAGCCTGATGGCTCGGCTCTGCTTCCATTGTCAGAGGCGAGAATGCTTCTGAATAACAGTTGCTGGAAACTGGAAGCGAGGAGGCTGTTGCACTCAGGTCCTGCTTTCTATGGGCTCCCCATAGGTATCTGGTTGGCCACTGTGGGAACAGGATGCTGGACTAGATGGGCCACTGGCCTGACCCATCAGGTCCTTTCTATGTTCTTATGCAGTGGCGTAATGGGTCAGTACATCTAGCTGCTAACCAGAAGGTTGGTGGTTTGAGCCCAGCCAGGAATGGCTGTGGGCATTGTAAGGGGTTGGACTAGATGGCTCTGGGGACCCCTTCCAACTGTACAGTTCTAATCAAATTATGTAAAACTATGTAAACCAGTATCATATTGCACTGCATATGGTCACCATGAAGAAATACTAATAAATCTCAATTATGGAACAAAGAATTTTGAATATAAGGAGTGAAACTGCTGGGCATTTATAGCAATCTGTAAAATCAACCAACTTTTTATTTGGGATCTATATCCTTTACAAGATTGTCCTTAACTAGGCAATACCCTGTCTGTCCATCTTATTTCTCCAAATCACTTGGACAGTTTAGGAAGGAAGAGAATACCAGGAAACCCGGAGGAACAAGAGGTGAACATCTTGGGTTCTCTGACTCATGAGAATCCATCCAGAAGCATATTTTCTTTTGTTGTTGTTGTTTACTCGTTTAGTTGTGTCAGGCTCTTCGTGACACCATGGACCAGAGCACGCCAGGCACTCCTGTCTTCCACTGCCTCCCGCAATTTGGTCAAACTCATGCTGGTAACTTTGAGAACACTATCCAACCATCTCGTCCTCTGTCGTCCCCTTCTCCTTGTGCCCTCCATCTTTCCCAACATCAGGGTCTTTTCCAGGGAGTCTTCTCTTCTCATGAGGTGGCCAAAGAATTGGAACCTCAGCTTCAGGATCTGTCCTTCCAGTGAGCACTCAGGGCTGATTTCCTTAAGAATGGATAGGTTTGATCTTCTTGCAGCCCATGGGACTCTCAAGAGTCTCCTCCAGCACCATAATTCAAAAGCATCAATTCTTCGGCGATCAGCCTTCTTTATGGTCCAAAGACAACAGGCATATATTTTCTTTAGGAAACAGAGAAAAGAGAACAGAGGAGGGAAAGCTGCATGAACACAAATGCTATAGTGCCTGTGTGAAGCCAGAAACAGTTCTAAAAATCCTTGTCAACTTTTCATTTCAGTTTGGATAACAGGCCTATGTAGCTGTTCAAAGTTTGTTTGTTTGTTTTATTAAAAAAAAAGAGCCAGTTATTTTTAATAGTGTTTTATGTTTTGTGGTATGCATTTTGTCATATGCTATGCTGGTATTTTATGAGATGGTGGTATATTTATAAATATATATATTTTTTCCAAATACCACCCATAACTGGAGAAGGGGAGAAGGAAAATTTCCTGACTAGTTGTGTAAAAAACCCACCACGTTTCTGTAGTTTAAATCCAACTTCTATTCTTGGATACTGTGATGATTAAAATCAAAAGGTGCCCTTATTATCTCCAGTGCTGTCTTATCTGATAATATAGGTGATAGAATTTCACCCAGGGTTTCTTGCAAATGGAAGTCATATTTTTTCCCCTCCTGTGACAAAAATGTTTCACTTGCCATCATTCATTTTGCTATGTAGAACGTATTTATAGGCTCTGATCCTGCCCTCCTTTTGCCCTAAAGTCTTTGCTTTTCAGACCTTTATAAAAAATGTTGCTTTCTTTTTGAAATCTCATCCCACCTGATTAATTTGTCTCCCAACCCTTATGTTATTGAACAGAGATTTAAATCCATGGCCAGAAACATTTATATTTTTCAAATGGCAATTTTACAAAAGGAAGGAAAAAACAGAAACAGAAATATTGATTATGCAGTTCATATTAAAACAGCAAATGCTGTTCGCTTAGGAGTCCTTTGTTCTTTGTGTTCGGAGCCCACACACTAGTTTCAAACTCCATTGTGTTACATTGTCATTCCAGTAGCTAACCTTTCATTTAGGGTTTTCAGCTGTCAATCCTAATCCCAATCCTAATGCACTGTTGAAAGGATTTAGCAGATGTCCCCTTCTGCTGCTTCCACTGGTCTCTGGCAACAGGGATGGGGGGGGCAGTGGCTGTGCAGTTATGGAGGCCTGCACTGCCACTGCTTACATTGGGCCCTGTAATGCAGACCCTCCAAGTGTCCTTATTTTCCAGGGGAAAGTTCAGGATTTACAGAAGCCATCCCAGTTTCTGATTTTATCCCAGAATGTCCCACTTTTCCTTAGGACGTCCCTATTTCCTTTGGAGAAATGTTGGAGGGTATGGAATAGGATGTCTCTCTTTTCATTGGAGAAATGTTGGAGGGTGGTCGGGCAGGGCAATAATGAAGCTGGGTCAGATATAGATCTGTTGGATCCTATGCTGGTCCAGATCTCGGAGAGAGGCCCAATCCACTCTGTTGCAGCAACCTTGAGCTGGCATCAGGAACCCCCCCCCCTCTGCTGAAAACAATTTTTCTCCCAAACTTCTACTGTAGCTGGCAGGAACAGCTTGATGAAGGGATGCCTCCACTACTCTGCCCTGTGATGCTACTCCCTGGCTACAGTTTGGATTACTCTGCCCATCTGGCAAAGGAATTGTTAAAAATTAGGGCTCTCTTAGGAAAAAGAAATATGATGTTGGAAGAATTTGGGGCATGTGCCAACCATAGCGAAGAGCTTTTGAGGCATGTTTATTTCAATAGGATATTTTAGCACACACTTAAATTACTTCTGTTGACATTAATGGCGTTTAAAGGAACTGATGTTGGCCCGGTTTTCACCCTCAGTGAGATGCCAAAGATAAGAAAGATATGAAAAGGGCTATATGTTCTATCTTGGAAAAATGACCCTTGGTTCCAGTAAGTGCAGCACTGTGACGCTGAAATTGCCCTGAACTTTTGGGAAATTACGTAAATCGTGAAACCCTGCTGAGGAAAAGATCTGCACCAGTCAGTCACAATCTGGAGCAGTGTGAAATAACACCTGCATATCCTGCCTCTTCGTTATTATGTCCCCCCCCCCCCATTTCTAGAAGTTTCTTCCTTTCCCTGTTAAATTTACTTTGATAAATTTAATTTTACTTTTTAATTATAATCGTGTGCCTTGTATCTTTTGTACTCCACTCAACCATGCCTGGTTGACACAAAAGTGTCCTGTTTGTGCCCAATATTTGGGTTCCTTCTTTAAAAAAATATACAAGGATGTTTAATAAAGTAAACAGTATAGGATAGCAGTGTAGCAACCCAGGGCTTTTATAGGTTTGGGTTATTTGAGGGTCCTGTGGCAAGGCACAAAATTTAAAAATAACTCTCCTTTAATCTTATCCAGTCCAGTAGCACATGGCTGCCTAATTTGGCCCAAAATGGAACTCAAAGCATTTGACTATGTTTCACAATCTTCTTGAACGGTCAAATGAGCATTTTTCAACCCACAAACTCATTTTGTAAATAAACTTCAACATCCCAAACAATACCACACCCATAGGTGCCAACTCCCTGGGTGAATGAGCAACCACAAAATTCCCCATGAAGGGGCCAGGCACCTACAAATTTCAGTAGCAGGGCCACCATGCATGTTGCATGGCATCCTTGGCCCTGGGCACCCACGGTCGTGGGGTCAAGGTGGTATTCCTGACCAGATCTAGGTATTGTTGTAGTATCTATTCTTATAACATCTTGGAGGGACTTATTCAGTCTGCAATCTCCACCCTGAAACTGAGTCTACAAGCTGACCTCATAGCTTCAACATCCAGCCTAATTTTTGCAAAATAAAAATAAAAATAATCCTCCCCCACCCCCTGCTTTGTGTAGAATCTTACTTTTATGATGTTTTGGTTGATCCTGATAATGGTATTAATGGGATGCGGGTGGCGCTGTGGTCTAAACCACAGAGCCTACGGCTTGCCAATCAGAAGGTCAGCAGTTTGAATCTCCGCAATGGGGTGAGCTCCCGTTGTTCAGTCCCTGCTCCTGCCCACCTAGCAGTTCGAAAGCACGTCAAAGTGCAAGCAGATAAATAGGTACCTCTCCAGCGGGAAGGTAAACGGCGTTTCCGTGTGCTGCTCTGGTTCGTCAGAAGTGGATTAGTCATGCTTGCCACATGACCAGGAAGCCTCCTTTGCACAAACGCTGGCTCCCTCGGCCTATAGAGCGAGATAAACGTGTAACCCCAGAGTCGTCTGCGACTGGACCTAACGGTCAGGGGTACCTTTACCTTTTGTAATAATGGCATTGCCCAACTGTAGACAGCCAGCATGGTGTAGTGGTGAGATTGCCAGACTATGATCTGGGGGACCAGGCTTCAAGTCCCCCCTCAGCCATGAAGCTCCCTAGATGACCTTGGGTCACTCACTCACTCACTCTCAGTCTAACCTACTTCACAGGGTTGTTGTGAGGATAAAATGGGGAGGAGGATAGCTATGTACACCACCTCGAGCTCCTTGGACCATCTCTTCCGCATATGTATGCTTCTGTTCCCTCTTCATTCCACCATAAAAACAGCAAGAAAGACTAGTGTGCTGGTATGCCGCCCCAAATTTTGTCATTCTGCTTCAGAGATTTCCCAGGTTAAGGGGGCTGCCAGTGGATTTTTTTCTGGAATCAAATAACATGGAAATGAGCAGTAAACACACACTATATGCCATAAGTTTTCTGGAAGTTGCTGTTACGGCTCAAATATAATGTAGAAAATAATAGTTAGGGGAATGTCTGGGAAATTGAATAAACTGCCTTGTGAATACAGCCAAAATAGAGGGGAAAGTGTGTGAGTGAGCAAGCAAATATTTAAAATTTCTTCACTAAACCAATTTTACATTTTTGGCTGGCACCCAGGCTAATAGCTACAAAAAAGACCAAAAAGAAGTTTAATATCTTTCCAATGTATAATGTAGTGGCAGACACAATGGTAGAACTTTATCCCACGTTTCTTCATAATGGTGTGATAATTCCTGTTGTTAAAAAATTGCTGTTGAGTTTAACCGTCATTATAAGAGAATTCTCCTGCAGACTACAATGGAAAGAAACATTGTTAACAACGTATTAATCACAGTGAATTAAATTAGCTGATCATTTCATGGATTCAGAGAAATTAGAACTAGGAAATTCTAGAGGCATAATGAGTTGATCAAATGCTGTCTCTTGTTGGAAGTATCATAATGGCTATGGGGCGAGATTTTTTTGTCATGACGGTGACATGATCGGAGGCCCCTTACAGCTGATATTTA